AAGGCCTGCAGAGCGCGGATCGACTTAGTCTTTTTGTTGACATGTCACCACCTGCATGCATGCATACGGGACTAAAATTATACAGCTACAATCAGCTGTTGCCGACATACATGGTTCAAGTACGGAAGTTTGGAGTTCTAGAACGACATGCGAATACTGTATTACATATGCACTCATGCATGTGCATGCATTGTACTGTATTTTTGAAGAATATATATAATTATTACATAATATATACTCGATCTTTTGCAGTTTCATCGGATCAATGATTTATAATATATCGATCGATCTCCCTTGAATGTATATTCCGCATTCACATTGCTGCCTTTGTGCCCTTCCTCATTGTAGCCTTTTCTGCCTTGACTTTCTCTTTAGCTTCCTCTTTCTCCATTCTCACACGTTCCTTCTCAATACGTTCTTTTTTCTGCTCAGCCGTTTCCTTCTTCTTACCCTTCCTGCCCTTCTTGCCATTCTTTCCCTTCGACTTCTTGCCTTTCTTCTTCTTCTTCTTAACCTGGCGAGCTTGGAAAGTATCGGGGTGCTAGTTAACATGACACTAGTGGCAAAAATGGAAAGGCGCGCTAGCTAGCGCTATAAATACATATTAATTCCTAATAATTAGTTTATGTTAATTTTGATGTAACAACGTCAAACCCCGACCAGGATGATCTAATATTAGTGATATATTATAACACACAGACATAACAGGTGCGATGCCTTCTCAGAAGAAGAGCTAGACTCCTCCGAAGTGCTACTGGACACATGCTTGCGCTTCTTCTTCTTCGAAGCTTTCTTCTTTCTCGAGTCCTTGTCATCATCGTCTGTGCCAGATTCAGATCCATCTTCGACCCCCTCAAAGAGGGACTCCACCACATGGTCAGTGGTCTCTGACACCACATCGCAGTCCCAGACCAGGAACAACCTCATCTCCTGCCAAGCACACTATTTGGGAAATTTGATGTTCCTTGGATGTGAGACTGATCGTTGACATCGGTATATTTTCTCATAGTTTCTCCCCTGCGCTCACCTAAAGACAATAGTAATAAAGTGTGGTCTTTAAGGTGCAAAAACAAGTCGCACAAATCCAATTTGATCAGCATTCAAAAGCTGCATATCATGTATTGCGCATGTACTCTCCAATCACTGGAACTAAAACACCAAGTTTGATTGACCTATAATATATTATTAATTATATTGTAGGGTTGATGACCCACTCAAAAGTGACTAGTATATATTATATTATTATATTATATATAATACAGTCTTCTCCCAAACCGCTCCTCTGACGGGTCGTCAGGGTGCAACCGTGTTTGTGTCTTCCGCAGCTCGGGATCATTGAGCTTCTGTTCGCAAATGCGCTGTGCTATCTCAGCGCTTTGGTACTTTGCTTCGATCTGTGCTCTAGTCAACCACACCCGTGATCCCTTCTGGGACAGTGTCTTCCTCTCCACCATACGCTGGTAGATCGTGCTCTTGACCCATCGGCCAGCACAGCTGAACCATTCATCCATGAGTACTTGGAGTTTTTCTCGGCCTTACACATGCATAGTCCAAGGACGGTCAGGCCACGAATGTTAAATTAAAAGAATTCTTTCGCTGTACTAGTCACATATAGTTCAATCACACGCATGTTCCACATGTGCAATATGTTCCAACAAGTTGCAATATGCCGCTGCAGCACCTGCGTTTCTGATAGCCTTCGGTGTAAATTTGCCTGGCGGGTGGCAAAAAGAGGTTCATACCATCACTTGCAGCAATATACAAGAGTGCGCATGAGCGCTGAAATTATTTATGCATGGATTGAACGGACATGGCATGAAGTGTGTAATATTGCGCGATAGTTGGCTGTGTGTTGAGGACATGTTCTGCAAAAGATGGGCACATGTATTACATGAACAACCAAAAGCAAATAAGATTGGGCCCAATTTGGCGCTTAGATTACAAATATGATTGTTGTAAGATGATCAAAGGACAACAAATCAGTCGAGATGCTCTTCAGGCTCCGAGAAAATCTCATGTACCTGGCATGAGCCAACTTTTGGGCAGGTGACTTTTCTTTCTTTGCTTTTGCCTTCTCCGTGGTTCCATCATCAGCCTTTGGTGATCCCTTTGGTTCTTGGGGACCACCATCATCATCCTTTTCTGGCTCATCTGGTTGATCTTTCTCTTCGTCTTCATCTAGGTCATCTTCAGTTTCCTTTGCCTGACTGGCCTCATCCGACTCAACTTCCTCTCCATTGCTCCCCTGAGCGTTTTCATTTTCCTCATCCATCCCCTCATCGTCTCCAGCTGCGACCGGCGTTGGGAGGTCATCATTGTTTTGCGGCTGCACAGGAGGGCATTCAGAAGGAGTGTGTTGGACCGATGAAGTGGCCCGCTTCAAATTGTCTGAATGTGATCGCTTGATGGCTTCGGAGTTGGGAATGACTTCTGCTTTGACTGGAGCCTTGACATCAGCTTTCACAGGCGGCTTGGCACCAGCTTTCACTGCAGTAGCCACCTTGATGGGTACTTTGGAGGTTGTCTCCTGTCCAGCTCCAGCATCGTCTGGCCGCATAGCATCAGTTCCTTCTCCATCCTGACCATCAGGAGGGATGATCCCATTCGCATTGTTTGCGTTGCCACCTGCACCAGCACCACTGGACTCACCAGGAGATGCAGCTGCCCCCTTGACAGCTTTCTTGGCGTGCTTCTTGGATTTCTTTTGTTTCCTCAGGCGGTGTTTCTTCTTTGGTTTGCCCTCCAACTTTCTGGTCACAGGAGCCATAGCATCACGCGACCCGCCTTCACCTGAAGCTGTCGCGGACGTTGTTGTTGGGGATGGCAATGTCTGCTTTGGATCCGATGGGTGGTTGAGCGGCATGGTAGTCCGACGCCGGATCTTCTCTGGTGGCGTGGTCAAGACTGGCACACCATCTACACGGACTGGTCCAAGCGGTGATTGATGCTGGATGTTCAACTCCATTTGGCGCGCTTCAGCGCAACCCCTTCGAGCATTCTCACGGGCCTCCTCATCGGTGGCTGCAACGGTGGTTGCTGTACTTAGTCCTCCTGCGCAAGTCAAGTAGCTGAGTCATATCTGTGCGCATATTGTATAATATATATTTTATAAATTTTATATGGTACTGTACAATTTATAATAGTGTTTCATACGGCATCGAGCTGGCAACATGATTTCTTGTATATAAAATCATCAATGGTAAATTGCGCACTGTGGTCCTCACCGCCACCGTCGTTCGATATCAAATGTGGTGTCTAGTAAAGTATTACACACATTACTAACTTAATTAGTTTATAATATTATTAAAAAACACTTTATGATCTGTCACGATTGAAGTGAAGTTATTTGGGTCCAGGCAGCTGGAAGGGAGTCCAATGTGAACTGCAACCTACTTTTATATTGCATGCATGCATACATGCAGAAACTCTGCACAAGGTGCTAAGATTAAGAATGACCAGGAACAAGTCCATGCAACACACCCCAAGTACCAAGTACCCGGTAAGTACCCCGCATCTCCTGCTGATGGTGGAGATCGAAGTTCAGGGATCTTCGCACACGCAGCCCGGTCGGCCAACCTCGAGAAGAATAAAACGCACCAGGCCAATAATGGTCACCAGACATCACACACATCCAGAACCCAGTACAATACACATGGATCGATACATTGTTCATAAGGCATGGACAGTACTGAAACCCACGGGAAAAGGTCGTGATGTTCTGTGTCGATTTCATAGCCAAGTCTTCGCTGGACTATTGCAAGTGCAACCTCCAGGTCAGCACGCCTGCGGGCCCGTTCCGCAGCACGCTGCAAAGCTGCATCTGCAGCTGACACCATCAGGCCTAGCTAGGCATATAGGCTGCCACCTGTTCCCCAAATGCCTCTCAGATCCACCAGCACGTGCACATGGTCTGTCATGGTCATAAACTTGGTTCACGCCGTTCACGCTGTGATTTTTTCAGAAAATTGTTGTTTTTTGGGGGGGGAGTTTCACGGCGCGTTCACGGCTATAAATGGTCGTTCACGGCTAAAAATGGTGATTTCACGGTGGTTCACGGTGTTTCACGGTGGGGATTTTTCTGGAGGTCCAAATGGTCATTTTGTTTGTTTTTTGATCTATAGACTCCGTGTGACTACTTATCTGACTCCATGTCATGACATATCATGAAATGGTTTAAACGTCCACAAGATATCCAAAGCTCTTCTTTTTTTTGAGAACACCATTTCATGTCCAGTGTCCAAAGAGGTGCATGCCCATGCTGTCTAGCTCAGGCATGCCTCTGTGTTGCAATAATTGTGCATGCACGCACAAACACGAATTGGCAGCTAGACTTGAGGCAATTGGTAAACAGGACACTATTATAAGTTAGACTGTGAGCCGCTTAATCACGAGGTCTACTAGACTCGAATGTTAATAGGGTCCTTTCCGTGCACACATCTACCAGGTGTCAAACAAGCTATCGATCAATCCTCAAAGTTGCAAATCCTTCCAACGCCTCAGTTGAATCTAGTGCACATAAAGCACATTATACTACTACCGTAGATCGTTTGACCTATCAGCTGGCCAACTCACCTGTGTGATCTTGATCACAAGGCCTCTAGGCCATGCCGGAGCAAGGGAACATATAGCCCCTCCTCTACCCGTCGGCACACGTCATCACCGATGCTCCCCATCCGGGCATGGAGCCACTTGTATGGCCCCTGCAAGCGGTTGTAAACGAGATAAACCATATGTCCCATCCATGAACATGTGCATCATGACCATGTAAACTGTGGAATAGCTTAAAATGTGTGTATGCATCATGCAGGCATCCATGAGACATGAAATCACATACATTTCCAAACGATCCAAGTCTGGACCATATCTCCCAAACCTCGTGGCATGAGTCTGATGGAGTTGGGATGAACTTCTTCGAGAGGGAGCCCGGCCGACCCTTACATCGCACGGTTGTTGTAAAAGCTTCGACTAGAACATCAAAGCCGCTGATATCAAATTCCTGCTCACACATTCAAATGACTTGCACGTGACATTGCGTTTGCTCCCTCTAAAACGGGTCGCCAAGTGTCTGCAAACTCCAGATGCTTATCTGCAAGGAACTTGGCAAATCGACGTGGATATGCCGCTGACCGCTTCAAGCCATGTGAGCCCGTCCTTGCACGTTCGAGAAGTGATTCATATCTAGTCTACAAATAGCATGACTGGCCCACTAGCGTTGAATCAGCGCATGGCTCAATCCGTCATGATACGTTAGTCCAATTCCAAACCAGCGCAATTCTCAGACGATGTAAAAACATCGCTCAAGAAGCAACGAACACTATCCCAAACTGGCATGCCAGGAGTGTGACATGGCTCTAAGCCACTGGTCATATGTTATATAACTATCGAACACACACAAATATCAAATAGTCAAATATTCTGATGGCGAGCTACACTTGTTTCTTTCCACTAGTCTTGCTGATGGTTTTACGCACCGTTTCGAACTTCTTGTTCTTCTTGTTGTTGTCGATGCGACGTTTGTCACGGGCAGAAAGCTTCCGCTTGAAGTCCATGATGTATGGCCTGAGCCGCTGTAAGCATGCGCAGGGTTGAAGCCTTTGTTTGCCAACTATGTCATCACGTCAGTACTTGTTGAGGCTGGAGCAATGTTCCGAAGAGCACGGTTGGCTTGGTGTTGGGATGTCCAAAAGCCCCCATAGGACTTGGCATGCACAAACCACACTTGAGTTCAATAAATATGCAAAAACAAAAGTAGCAAGTTTGCTGTTGCGCATGCATGTGTACTACACAGCCACTGGGGGTAAGACAAGCGGACCTTGCCCCAGAAGAGGGGGGCCAGTACAGTTGCCATATGCACCATGTAAGGGAAAGAAGGCATCACACTTGAGGATGGCTGCTCTGCCAGAAAAAATGCATCTCTGGCTATGGCGATCAGCCCCAGTAAGACAAATCGGGCTGTGATCCTTAGCAATATGGAGCCATTCATATGCAGAGTCACACTTTCGACCAAATGTATATTATATATATATATTACGTAAAAAGGTACGATGCATATTCTAGATCATTAAATTCTTAAAGTCCCAGTCTCGCAGTTGCGTCCGCCACATACTGAAGCCGATGGTTGCCAAAAATACGGCTCTTTTTCCGACCATGAGTTGCACTGTTTATCCACACCCACGAGTTGCAAGGTGGCCCCCCGACCAGAAGCCCACGCTTCTTCAAGCGCAGAACCATCTGCACGATGTTCCTGAATCCGTTCCTGAGCCAGTTGGCATGGTCAAAAGATCAGGTAGTATACATGAGGTATAACACAGGCACAAAATGAATTACAATATTATCAACAATAACCATTGCATCAATGCATGCATGCACGAATGCAATCCGCTATTGAACTATTCACTGGAAGATGGGACAGCTTGCTTGGGTGTGCATTAATTGAGCGACCTGTGACGGAATAGGCATGATACACATGTGCTGCTCAGATATCTTATCAATGTCATACACCATGATGTTTAGGCCTGATGCACTGTACGCTGATCAGAGTGAACATGTATTTGCAATTTGCTTTGCTCCAGCTGAGTTTTGCTCGGGTGCAGGATGTTACCTTCTTCTCCATGGTGAAGCAGATCAAAGCATCCCCTCAATGGGCTGGGAGGATGATGACGGGCTGGGTGCTACTTGCAGAACCAGGGAACTGGTCGAGTGCTTCATCAATAAAGATCGATTCACTGAATCTGCACTGGGCATTAATCAATCAAAAAATCAAGAGCACATTTCTTACATAGTTTTCAGACTGCACTGTATGCTATGTAAATCGATCATTTTAGATGTCGCTCTCTCAGCCAGTGATCTAACCTTTTCTGGGCCCCCAGCACGTGTTGGCCTTCCTCTCCTGAGTGGTGTCCAACTTGAAATTTGTACTATTTCACGATCAACACGACCAGTACAGCAAGGGGAGCTCCGGAGCACAGCATAGTGAATTGGAACATTTAGGACAAGACTGGTGTGTTTATGCCAAATGAGTTGCACTGTTTGTCTATGTGATCGTTTGGTGGAATGCTAAATTCGAGCTAGAACAGACCCAACATAATATTTATGACAATTACAAGATTACAATCACCGATAAAATTGTCCAAGCTACAATTCAATGTTTTCTAGGTACTTCTGAAAGAACATACCTGACGTAATGGCATGATCCACGCCACGTCAACCCGCACTCACTGAGGGTGTGCCTTTCTTGGCCACCCAGCGGCTTGTGTGGCCAGGTTCCACCTGAAAGCGCCGGAATATCGTATATGGTTTTACCATGTTTTACCGTTCCCTATGTAATCTGATGGAATTCCTGTTCTTTTCGATTTGTAGCTTGTTGTACAACTCAAAAATAACAACCGTTCCTGCCAACCTTGGGCCCCGGCGCAGATCCACAACCTCCATAGGTGGTCCATGTAAGTGTGCTGCCTTTTTTCCGGACCTGCCAAGGAGCACTCACCATGGTCTCTGGATGTGTGATGACGGCGAATGGCAGTGTTCTTGGAGGACATACGGTCACAGCACAGGGCCAATTGCAACGCTTGTAAAACAAAATAAATTAACGTATGAATTCAGGGTGGAAACTGCACATGCATGGATGCATGGTTACATGTCCGTCATCAGTCCAAGCATGTGTTGTGCCTGCAGTGTTGGCGCACCAACTTGTTGCCTTTTGTTGATGACTTCAACTCTGTCCTGTATCCCTTCGGACATTGCAACTTGGAAGGATGATGTATTGGAACGCGATGTGCACAACCTCATTTGTGGACATTCATGGCGACACACTTGCTTTCCATGCAAGGGATCCATACATCAAGAATGACATCGGTCAATGCTAGCCTAGCTATTAAAAAATTATTAGCCAAGTTGTAATGATGGAAGGCAGCTAACAACCCAAAAACATTTGACCCAGTAATGCCCAGTAACTAGCTTTTTTTCAGTACTATGCTTGGTGCACTGGTACTTGGCTCCCTGCACAACTCCAATCGACGACATCGACGATGATTTGTTTGATCCAGTGGGTGGCTGGATCGTGAAACACCTTGGCAACATAGATGAAGTTCACGTGTTCAAAAACACAGTTTTGGTCAGGGTCATCGAATATATTAGTTCAACCAGGTCATTCTTATTTTATGCAATGCTTTGTCTACAATATATTAGGCCAGCCCACACACACTCTCACTTTTGCTGGCTCATTCTTCAACGGAACAAACAACTGGAAACCAGGGACTCCAACAATTGACAACAACACAAATGAGGCCTGTGCATGGCATCATTGACATGTTCTGGGATGACCATGAGCTCATCATCCTCAGCAATGGCCTTCAAGCCTTTCAACTTCTCCTCCTGGGGCCAGGGTTTGGTGAAACAGGAAATAAAATATTGCGATTCCATGTGTTTTTTCAGGCATGCATGGACTAGGTCGAGTAGAGTGTAGGCACACTTTACAGTTGGCACCCGTGAGCAACTGAACTCCTTGATAGCTTGCTTTTGGGCTTTCTTCTGGGCTTCCTTCGTCTCAGCATCCACAACAGGTTTAGAAGCCGTTCCTGCATCACCGGAAGGATCATTTTTTTTACCTGATTCTTCACCATCCTTTCTATCCTGGTCATCACCATCTTTGGAGACCTCTGCTGCACCAGGATCATCGGTTTCCTTCACAACCTTCCTCCGCTTCGATGAGGCAGGACTTCGCAGTTGTCCAAATTTGGACTTGGTGGTAGTCCGTCGCAGCTTCTTTTTGGTTGGTGATTCACCCGCACCTTGTCCTGATTCCTTTGCGCCCTCAGGCACTGGTACATTCTCTTCAGGTTTCTCGGGAACATCACTGGGCCGATCTGCTGGCTTTGGTTCTTCTTCACTTTTGCGTTTTTTTTGTTCTTCCTTTGGATCTTCTTTGGGTTTTGGATCGACCTCTTTCTCTTTCTTTTTCCTGCCCTGACCACGTCCTCGGCCCCTGCCCCTGCCTCTGCCTCTGCCCCGTTTCTCGGCCTTGGCATCTGCGCCCTCCTCCTGTTCCAAAGCTTCACGAAGCTCCTTGTCAGGATCCTCCGCAGCTGCGGTTGCCTCTTTCGCCATTTGCCGGATTGCTGCTTGTGCCTCACAAGCCGGGTGGAATGAGGCAGTGGGAACACGGTGGCGGAAAGCGAGATTGTCTCTTTGGTCTTGGCAAATATATATTATAAATACTCAACTTGAATTGTGTAATATTAATATTCAATAGTAATTAATATTTCCAATCATGAGACCGCAAGTGTTTAGTCACGCATGTGCTGTCGAATGAATGTCGAATGATCATTGGAATATTTGTACGAAGGCCAGAATTATGTATTGGACAACGAACTCAGTCCCAAGCCTTCACCATTTCTGCTTGGTGTTGTTCGTCAGTACCGCCTGCATCCAGCAGCTCCAGCTGCTTAGTTGCTTGGTCTACCAAGCTTTGAGGAATGTCGACTGGCTCCACCAAAGGCTTCCGGTCCTGCATCGTATACATGCATGGGGGGCTCAACATTGTAGCCAAAAAGGTGAACTGATCGAGTTAAATATTATTGATCGATCAAGTCAAGTGAAGACACATAATATTATGACCGTTGACCTGTTGGCAGGTATTGGAGCATTCGATGAAGGAACCACACCGAAAAGAGTAAGTCCTTGTAAACACCCTTTTTCTCATCATCAGAGTCTTGTATGCTTTCAACCTCCTTCTCTGTTTGGGCCACCTCCAAACCTTTCTCCAAGAGAAATGGGTGGACTTCTCCGTTTTCATCATAGATCGCTGTGGCCAAGGTATTGTCAGCAGGCCTAGCAGATCCAGCAGATCCAGTGTCATGAGGCGGAAGTGGGATCTGTGGTGTCTGCTTTTTTGGGGACAATACGCACTCATCATCAGATTCGATGACATAGGTGACATCCTCATGGTTTTCAATGGGTTCCACACACTCATCGGACGCACGTTCTTCTTCTTCAGCCGACTCTTCTTCAAGATCTGTACTAGAACCAGTGGATGCAACCACCTGCAAAGCTGCTGGGCTGTTGAGGTCTCGCATCGTTCCGATAGGAGAAAGCTGTGATTCCACTTGAGTGTCTGCATTGTCCATGCTGATGGCTTTCTGTGCCTCCTGGCATCAACGGATGTTATCATGATGTGATATGTTACGAGCATGCCAAATATAAATTGAGTGAAAACGTGTTCACTGGCTCATAGCATCATGATGAGGACACCCATGTATGAGGATGTTGTTTATATTTTGCATGTTTTCACCACAAATATCCCCACCTTCTCTTGCCTCAGCCGGGATGCACCACGGCCACGTGTTGGCGTTTTTCGACCATCAGGCGCCAGCATTCCGTGCTCCTGTTCAGCTGAGCAGAGGGGGCTGTTGGAGCTGCAGGGGTGGGAAGTGCAGATGTTACACCGCCGGTGCACAATGTAGTTTCAATTTCAATCACATATTCTCCCCGAGGTATTAAACATGTAGAACACGTTCAATGACCCAGAACATACCACCCCAGCAGTAAATACGAATTGATCGATTGGTTGATCTGATTGATGGCCATGGGTCAATAGTTTTGCAGAAGATCACAGTGCTGGACTGAAAAGATCGATGCATGTGTATAATATATGGATTGTGCAGTATGATCGACATCAATCAATCAACTGATGCGTATCCCAAAGGTGTGTGACGACTTGCATACTTGCGATAATCAGTCCATCAGCTTCGAACGTATCACGCCCTTGATGGTCGCCATCTTGGTGTGACCCTTCCTGGCGAACAAAAGAACAAGCTTGACTGTTTCTGTCCTTGGGAGGCCGAACCGATGCATGTGCATTGCATGCAGCATGCATGAGTCATGCGCACGCACAGTACTATATACTAGATACTAGACTGACACATTCCAGTCCTTGCGGGGGTTCTTTGGTCACGACAAGTTAGTAAAAATTGACTCG